CATCATTCTCCTTCGCCAATTCCCCCTTCCCCTCTTCCTCTCTCCTCGCTTTCTTCTCTTTCTGCTCTGCCGAGATCCGAGCTCGGCTCGAACTTGGCCGCGACGACGATAGTTGCTCCATCCTGATGGTACTGTAGTTCTGCTACTGCGACGACGACGACGACGACTCAGTAGCAGTCGGCTTCTCCTGCATAGAAGATATTTTAAGCACGCTTGGGAATCGCTGCAGGCCGGTTCCGCCGCTCCAAAGACTTACAGCTCTGATTGAATCCACTGAATTGGAAAGCTCTCCCCAGTTGGAATCTTGCACCGAACAAAAACCAGAGAAACCAAGCTCGATTCTTTGTTTTGCAGAATTTTTTTGGCAATTAATCAGAAAAAAAAAAAAGAGGAAAGGGAAGGAGAGTGTGGGACGAAGAGAACGAGGGAGATAAAGAGGGAGAAAAGGATGGAGGCTTCCAGAGAGAGGGAGAGTATTATTAGAATAAAAAAGATAGAATTAATTAATATAATATTATTAGATATGAATTAAAAAATATAATATTGTAGTTTGTTATTATCCTTCTTTATAGTCCGACACTCCACCAAACGCTTCATTAAGTCAGTACAGCTTAGTCTAGTCTAAGCCAGTCTAGCTTAGTCCCTAAAGCTAATCCAGTCCGAGATAGTCCGGTGCAACAAACGCACCCTTAAGGAACTGTAGAGTTCGATTTGGTGGAATTAGAGTCTAACAACTTAACTGTAGACGATTAATATGTAAACATTTTAAATTCAACCAGGTGCATAGACTTGAATTGCAAGTTTACATTTCCTTTGTAATTTATAATTGCACCATAGAGAACCACTATAATTGCGAATATTGTTATGTTAATTAAATGCTTAATAAATTTTGTAAAATAAAAAAATTTGTATATGGTTCCCACAGATTTAGAATGTGCAAGAAGCTAGGAAATGGAATTTGTATACATTGTTCGTTCGTTTGATTTTGCTAAATATTAATTTTACTGTAATTGTTTGCTTTGTGTTTTAGGTTTTTGGAATTTTGATGTTTGGTGGTTATTTTGTGTTTCAATTAAAGCATTTGGTAATCTGTGACTCTGTTGGTGCATGATCTCGGGATTCCAAATATAGTTCTCAAACTATATTTTGGGATCCCACTTCATATGCCAATACATTTTGTAATTAGGATCAAAGAAATTAATTGCTAATTTTTACGGTTTTGCATAACCTGATTTTTGAGTTCGACTATGCAAATAATTATAAAATACAGTATAAGCTGATTTCTTAGTGGTTTGGATTTATGTGATCTCAGCATCTCATGGTTTCTTTGTGTTGAGCAGAAAGCTTGGGAAGTTGCGCAGGTCCCGTTCAAGAATTTGGCGATGATGGTTTCATGATTTGGATGGCTGGGAGTATAGTGCATTTGTTTAGCATTGGAATCACATTTTCCGCTTTTTGGCAACCCATAAGCACCTTACATGGTGTAGGGAAGGGTAAATGATTCGTATTCTGTTAATCGGTCTGTATGTGTTTCATTCTCCACTTCAACTCCTTTGTTTGGTAGTGTTATATATTGTATTCATGCAATATAGACTAATGCTTAAATTAGATATTGCTAAAAAAGAGTCTTTATCTTCTAAATCCTTAGCTTGCTCTACCTTGAATACCTTTCGAGTTCTTTTATATAAGATTATCCCTTATGAAGAAGTGAACTAAATAGGGTGATTCTTATATTTCTCAAGATTTGGTTCCTCAAAATGATTGTGACGATGACGAAAAATGTTTATTATGTGATTTTAAGAAAAAGGGTCAAATACAATAAAAGTAACTCAAACTGTGTCATTCAGGGAGGGAGGGAGGGAGGGAGGGAGAGAGAGATATGGATTTGGTGAGAGGAAGGCATGCGGCTTGCAGGCAGACATAGTCACAGGGGGTGTATGATTCGAGGGAGAGAAAGAGAGGGGATTGAGTGGTGATGCTCGATTTGGGGTTAGGCGACGGCGGGAGAGAGGGCAAGGGTTGTTGCATCCGTGTCATTCAGAGGGTTGCGAGAGAGTGAGAGGGCTGTGTTCTAGGGTTTGAGATTTGGTTTCAAGAAAGTGAGGGGGCCGGAGTGGGGGTAAGGCTTGGGCTGGATTTGTGGAATGGGGCTGGATTAGTTACAGACAGAGAAGGGGATGAGGGTGTAGAATGTCAGGGAGAGGAAGGAAGAGGGAGGTCTGCCAAAAATTGGGATTGATGGTGAGGGGATTGTACGGCAGACAGGAGGCCATGCCGCCTCTGAGATAGAGATAGACAGAGACAGAGAGAGAGACGGAGACAGATGCAAAAGTTTTTTTTCCTTCCCTTTTGCCCCTTTTTTGGGATATTAGTTACAAAATCTGTTTACAGCATAGATGTGAAATTTACAGGACGGGTTAGTAAGTTAATTAGTTAATTTGATTCTCAATGGATATGAGTTATTGCGATTTGTAGAGATAGACTAAAGACTTAAGGAAAACAATGTTTGTTTCGAGTACTTCTCACGCCATCGAGGCACAAATGTTATTCCTGCATTAATTAATTTTCTTTATATCATAATTGAATAAATTTAATTTTCCTTGATATCCAAATGTATTAAAGTAATTTTGATTGAAGTTTGTTCATTTTTTGGTTACCAAATATCTCACTCCGTTTACGTTGTGCTTTTTTTAGTTAACTGAAAAAAAAAGGCTTTTTATTCTTTGGTTTTCAAGACTTTATTTACCATTTACAAGTCAACCCCGCAAAGTACAAGAGAAACAAAGATTTGAGGTAATTTTTGCTCTAACTTGGAATAGTTTCTAAGATTTGTATTGTGCAATTGGCCAATGTTAACTACTAAATCGATTAAAAAACATTATGTAGGGCCTACGCCGCCATTCAATTACCTATGGAATTTATAACATGCAATCAGTTTCTTTTTAGTTTAGTTCAAATAATGTTTATTGCGCTGTTATAAAGCTCTTTTTTCTTGTTAGGTTGAAAATCTTATCGATATATTCTTTATTTAGTTGGTCCAATTTGTAACATATGAGATTGTTTTGTTTGATGTTTCAATCAAAATTTGATCTTTTTTTTTTTCTTGTGTGAAATTATAATGGAATTGCAAGTCAAGTATATCTTAGACTCTTGGTTGCATACTCACCTTCCCACAACTATTATATTATCTCCCAATTGGATGGATTTCTATAATTTTCTGGATCTACGATGACAATGCTTTTTATAATTTCCTAGATCCATCCTTTTTGTTCGTTCATGATTATGTCACTTCCCGGGCCCGCTCCACCACCGTAGCACGATATTGTCCGCTTTGGGCTTACCATTTCCTCACGGTTTTGTTTTTGGGAACTCACGAGCAACTTCCCAGTGGGTCGCCCATCATGGGATTGCTCTAGCCACCTTCTCGCTTAACTTCGGAGTTCCTACGGAACTCGAAGCCAGTGAGCTCCCAAAAAGCCTCGTGCTAGGTAAGGATGAGAATATACATTTAAGGATCACTCCCCTGGGCGATGTGGGATGTTACAATCCACCCCCCTTAGGGGCCCAACATCCTCGTCGGCACACACGCGGCCAGGGTTAGGCTCTGATACCAATTTGTCACATCCCGGCCCAGGGCGGATCACTTCCCGGGCCCGCTCCACCACCGTGTTTTTGGGAACTCACGAGCAACTTCCCAGTGGGTCGCCCATCATGGGATTGCTCTAGCCACCTTCTCGCTTAACTTCGGAGTTCCTACGGAACTCGAAGCCAGTGAGCTCCCAAAAAGCCTCGTGCTAGGTAAGGATGAGAATATACATTTAAGGATCACTCCCCTGGGCGATGTGGGATGTTACAATCCACCCCCCTTAGGGGCCCAACATCCTCGTCGGCACACACGCGGCCAGGGTTAGGCTCTGATACCAATTTGTCACATCCCGGCCCAGGGCGGATCACTTCCCGGGCCCGCTCCACCACCGTAGCACGATATTGTCCGCTTTGGGCTTACCATTCCCTCACGGTTTTGTTTTTGGGAACTCACGAGCAACTTCTCAGTGGGTCACCCATCATGGGATTGCTCTAGCCACCTTCTCGCTTAACTTCGGAGTTCCTACGGAACTCGAAGCCAGTGAGCTCCCAAAAGGCCTCGTGCTAGGTAAGGATGGGAATATACATTTAAGGATCACTCCCCTGGGCGATGTGGGATGTTACAATTATGTTGAATGTTTTTTAGGCTAAATGTGTCTTATTCATGTAGTTAAGGCTGGTGCATTCAAGTCTCGCAGCATCGCGCGGGCATATTACTAGTAAATCCTAAATTTGAAGTTTACATAATTTTATGTGATAATCTCATTGGAAGCTAATTCTTTTAGTTAATTTAACTTTATTTTATTGTAAAATATTTTTTGTGAACATTACCAAAAAAGTTCAAAATTCTCGTTGCCAAATTTTATTCTTTAGAACTACAATAGCTTAATTATTGCTGTCATGGTCTATTCTGATCAGAATCAGACTGGGACTCTTTACAACCTTGGTTAGCTAAATGAGTTATTAATTAAAAGTAGCTTGATAACTATTTCGTTTTCAATTTTTAATTTTTAGTTTTTACTTTTTTTTATTTTGAAATTAATAGTTTATGAAATTAGCATAATTCATCAATTTGATTCTTGAGATTTGAAATTGTTAAAAATGATTCCTAAAATTCTGTTAAAAATCTCCATTAAATAAGGAGCAAATGATAAAAATAACCTCAATTCAATAAACAATGGGCCATAATAATTTGACAACAAATGAAGATAATTGTTTTTTTTTTTTTTTTTGTACAAAATGATCAAAATAATTGATAATGAATAAAATAAAAAATCTCACAACAAAAACAAAGTGAGGAATTGCATAACAATTTCACGAATTAGCTAAAAAGTCAAAAATAAATATAGGGGTGTGCGGACAAATAAATATAGGAGTGTGCTATCCACACATCCTATTTTACTTTTTTCACATCTTTGATAATTTCTGTCAGTTATCTTCTTTAATTCATTGAATTCAATGGTAGAAAATTAAAAAAATGTTTGAGAAGTAAAATGGATTGTGTGTCACACCCTTCATATAAACAAAAGAAGAAACGAAACTTCCGACGCGGTGGGCTGCGACTTTGACCGAATGAGATTCCTCCGTCCGCAGCTCCTCCGTCTTCCTCCCAAACCGTTTACCTTTCTTTCTTTCTTCTCCAAAACTAGCAAGCTGAGATTTCAACCTATCTCTCTAAGAAGCAGCGGCATGCTTTTCCAAACGCAATCTGCAATTTAATCAAACAGCCACCGAATTTTCTGGAATCCGGTCAACGCAGAGATGCTTCGGATTTTGATCGGTCAACGCCAGCTGCTTACCTGAGCTCCAACAGACCCAACAGTGATGACGTCTTCCACCTCTGTTTCTGTTTGGCTGATTCTGCTGTTTGGCTTCTTTCACCTCCACAAGCTTGCTGCCAATGTCGAAGGTATGTATCTGTGTGTCATTGAATTTGGGAGTGTTTGGTTGTGGGAACCGGAATGAACTAATGAATGAATGAATGACTGGAAACATTCCCGAAGAGCTTGGGGGTTTGTCAGACTTGGTGAGCTTGGATCTTTACTTGGCAAGCTTGCAAAACTGCGTTTCCTGTATGAACCCCCATCCTTTTGTTAGATAAAATCTATCGTCTTTCTTTTTTATTCGATATGCTAATCTGCTGTTTTTAATTGTTCCATTGGAAGTCCCGTGAGTTTCAAGATTCACAAGAGGGGAACATCCAATCATTGCAAGTCCCGTGAGTTTCATACACTCTCTCCTCCCTCCATCAGAGAATGCAAATAACATATAGTTTTGCCATGGAATGCAGGGATCTTTCAAATAACAATCTGACAGGGGATATTCCAGTTAAAGGATCTTTTTCACTTTTTACTCCCATCAGGTTTGTTGAAGCAATTTTACTCTTTTTCCTTACCTTTAGGGACAAAAATAACAATCTGACAGGGGATACACTTTCATCTCAGTAAGAGGGAGGAGAGGGTAATATAGCTTGATCAAGTTGGTGTTGTAGTTGTTGTATGGGATGCAGGTTTCACTCATCTACTGTCTTTGCAGCTGAGGAGGATCGAGAAGTTCATTTACGACAGCTCAAAAGGTTTTCTTTGCGCGAGCTACAAGTTGCGACGGATACCTTTAGCAACAAAAATATTATTGGTAGAGGTGGATTTGGTAAGGTTTATAAAGGATGCTTAGCTGACGGAACTCTGGTTGCTGTAAAAAGACTTACAGAGGAGAGAACCCAAGACGGGGAACAACAGTTCCAAACAGAAGTTGAAATGATTAGCATGGGTGTCCACCACCGCAATCTGCTTCGTCTGCATGGTTTTTGCATGACATCAACAGAAAGGCTGCTTGTATATCCTTATATGGCTAATGGAAGTTTGGCATCTTGTTTAAGAGGTACTCATCTAAATTGTTTGCTGCGTTGATGAATCTTTTTGTTTTCACGACGTTAAAATTTTTTTCGATCACATTGATATAATGAATTTAAAAACCTGACCAATTTGGCTTGGAGTATCAACACTGATTTTTTTTAGTGTTTCTTTTTCCTTCAATTTTAACTTACCTTCTCGATGCTGATTTTATTTCTGTTTAATTTGAAAGGGATGACAAGAAGATCCTTTTTTGGGTAGGACGGGTGGTATGATATGTGTTAGACCACATTACCTGTTCCTTGTAATTTGAAATTCTCCTCTCATAAGTATGTGGATATATTATTGTAGATCGCCCAAAAGGACAACCTGCAATTGATTGGCCAATAACACAACGCATTGCATTGGGATCTGCAAGAGGTCTTGCTTATTTACATGATCACTGTGATCCAAAAATTATTCACCGTGATGTGAAAGCTGCAAACATATTGTTGGATGAGGAATTCGAAGCTGTTGTTGGAGATTTTGGGTTGGCTAAACTCTTGGACAACAAGGATGCATATGTTACCACACATGTATGTGGCACAATTGGTCATATGGCACCGGAGCACTTTTCAACTGGAGTGTCTTCCGAGAAAACTGATGTTTTTGGATACGGAGTCCTGCTTCTTGAACTCATCACTGGGCAGAGGGCTTTCAATCCTCAGGTTGTGAGTGATGATGATTTCATGTTAGTTGATTGGGTATGCATTGACGTCTTTCTGTTTGTGTATGTAGCTAGTTATTTGTTATATGCAAGATTATTTCCCAACAACATTTGCATTTCCTTAGTAATTAGCTTTTAGAAAATAAGTTTGGTTTAATTTGCTTTTATTAGTTAGAGTAATGATTAGCTGTGAAGATTTGTTTATCTTTATTTATAACAATCTAAGGTTTAAACTGTCAGAGATTAATTATTGCATTTCCTTAGTAATTGTTACTATTGTTGTTGCTTCTTTTGCCAATGTATAGGCATTATGTGATTTCTTGAAGAATTTGGCATATGTTTTGTGTCGATCCTAATTTCCTCATCATCTCCTTATTCTCGCTATCTTGGCCTCTCGCTTTTTCCTATTTTCTCTATTGCATCTTTGTCTTCTCTTTGCATGATATCAATATTTGAATGACGATACATTTTTGTAAGCAGTTTGATTTTCTGTAGAAAACTGCGGGCCTTCAGATTTTGAACATTACAACACATTTTTGATCTCCTAGGTTCCTGCACCTTTTGTTTCAAATTGTAGAGCCACCCAACATTTTCTGTTTTTTTTTTCCTAAAAAAATTAGGTCAAACGACTACTGAAAGATCGGAGGTTGGAAAGACTTGTTGATGCTGATCTAAATGGAAATTATATTGACGATCAAGTGGAGCAGCTGATCCAAGTAGCTCTACTGTGCACACAAGGCTCCCCAGGGAAACGGCCCAAGATGTCAGAGGTTGTCCGAATGCTTGAAGGCAAAGGCGAAGGTTTGCCGGAAAGATGGGAGGAGTGGCAAAAAGAGGAGGTGATCCGCCAAGATTTTAACACTATTCATCATCCAAGTACTTGGATCCTAGACTCAACTTCTCCTAATTTTGTGTTGTACTATTTCTGTGTGTTTGAAGAAATGGATGAAAACAATGACATGTGATAGAGAGTTCATCATATAACTTCTGACTTTAAGGATTTTTCATTTAGTTCTGGTTCATGTTGCGCAAATAATATTAGGTAACACTGCTACTGGGGCTATTGCTGGAGGGGTTGCTGTTGATGCTGTTTTACCGTTTGCTGCACCTGCAAGTGCACTTGCTTATTGGCGACCGAGAAAACCACAGGATCATTTCTTGGATGTACCTGGTTAGTGAACTATAGGAGTAATATAGCTTGATAAAGGTGGTGTTGTAGTATGGGATGCAGGTTTCACTAATCTACTGTCTTTGCAGCTGAGGCGGATCCAGAAGTTCTTTTAGGACAGCGCAAAAGGTTTTCTTTGCGCGAACTACAAGTTGCAACGGATACCTTCAGTAACAAAAATTTTATTGGTAGAGGTCGATTTGGTGAGGTTTATAAGGGACGCTTAGCTGATGGAACTCTGGTTGCTGTAAAAAGACTTAAAGAGGAGAGAACCCAAGGTTCGGAGCTACAGTTTCAAGCAGAGGTTGAAATGATTGGCATGGCTGTCCACCGCAATCTGCTTCGTCTGCGTGGTTTTTGCATGACACCAACAGAAAGGCTGCTTGTATATCCTTACTCTTCTAAATCGGTTGCTGCGTTGATGAATCTTTTTGTTCTCACGAAATTAAAAAATGGGTAAATTACATTTTACACCCTCAGGTTTGAATGTAATTGCAATCTCATACATCTTTAAAACATTTCAATCTCATACGTTTACTTATCAATTTTAGCAATTTTATACATCCGTTAGTCAAATCGTCAGTTTGATTACATGGCAAATGTGACGTCAACATTTTTGTTGACATAGATGCCAACTATGATCCACGTGGAATAAAAACAAATAAAAAAGATTAATAAATAGAAAATTAATTAATTTTTTTTATAATTAAAACTAAAAAAATAGAAAAGATAAAAAAAATTGGTGGTGTTCATCCCTTTCCTGCTCTCACCCCGCCCCCGCATTCTTCATTTCCCCCCGGCCCGCGATACTCCGTCGTTGCCCAACCCTTTTTCTCTCCAGGAACCAGCCACCATTAACCTTCTCCAACTCTCCCTCTCCAACCCAATGAGATTGTTGTTTCCAAAACGAAAATGCTATTAATTTTCAAAACTCACAGTTCAGACAGAGAACGAATTTCAAATTAGAACTACAAGATCGAAGGAACATTTGGAAAAAAATCCTTACATTTTCGAATCCAAATCTCACTTTCATTCTTGACAGACTTTTACCAACCAAAACCTTAACCCCAAACTCGTACAATGTCCGTAACGGCATCCATCGTGATTTCAGATCTCGGTAAACATCTCAATCAATGAAATAGTACGTAAGGTATGAAAGGGAATTTTTTTGAAGATGTTGTATGAGGTTGTAATAAACCTTAAACCTGAGGTGGTAAAGTGTAATTTACCCTTAAAATATTGTTTGGATTACATTGATAAAATGAATTTATACACCCGATCAATCTTTTTTGGAGTATCAGTACCGATGTATTTTTCTTCAATTTTAAGTTACCTTCTTTGTTGCTATTTATTTAAGCCAAAAATAATGGGTCTCCATACTTAATCACTTTATTTCAAACTGCTAATCTCATATGACATTCTTAATCATTGTATATGGAACATTTCTAAGGTTTAATTAGCTTTTATTAGTTAGAGTTACGATTAAGCTGTGAAGATTTATTTATGTTTATTTATAACAATCTAAGGTTTAAATTGTCAAAGATCAATTATTACATTTCCTTGGCAATTGTTGTTAGTATTGTTGTTGCTTCTTTTGCCAATGTATTGGCCTTGCTGTGATTTCTTGAAGAATTTGGCATGTGTTTTGCATCAATCCTAATTTCCTTATTCTCTCTTTATTCTCGCTATCATGGCCTCTTGCTTCTTTCTATTCTTTGTTTGCATCTTTGTCATATGTTTGCATCATATTGATACTTGAATGATGATGCATTTTTGTAAGTAGTTTGATTTTCTAGAGATATTGCAGCCCTTCAAATTTTGAACATTACAACACATTCACTCTCCTAGGTGCCACACCTTTTGTTTCAAATTGTAGAACTATCTGACTTTTTCCTTTTTATTTTAACTAAAATAATTAGGTCAAAAGACTACTGAAAGATCGAAGGTTGGAAACACTTGTTGATGCTGATCTAAATGGAAATTATGTTGACGATCAAGTGGAGCAGCTCATCCAAGTAGCTATACTGTGCACACAAGGCACCCCAGGGGAACGACCCAAGATGTCAAAGGTTGCCCGGATGCTAGAAGGCGATTGTTTGGCTGAAAGATGGGAGGAGTGGCACAAAATGGAAGTGTTCCGCCAAGATTTCAACCCTATTCATCATCCATGTACTAATTGGATCATAGACTCGACTTCTCATATTTCTCCGAATGAGTCCCAGATGATATGCTCGTTGGTTCCGTCTCCTGTATACATGTAAGAAGCCTTTAGAGGATTGGAGAATGTCCATTTTGTATTTCAGTGATACAACATTTGTGCATATGTTTTGTCTTTGTTTTCAATTTTGTTTTTGTCTTGCTTATTTTTAAGATCACAAAAATGGAGCTAGTGCTGTTGTAATTTTTATAGGGTTCACTAGCATTACGAAGTTATATGGTGCTAGCAGGAATTAGGAAGGGCCACAAAAGCACCTGTTCCTAATGATTTATGTATCTATCCAAAAATTAGGTCAGATTGTCGAGTAAATAATCATTATGAACTCATAACTATCTATATTTTTGAGTGTTCCTATAGATCCTAGGCCAAGTGCGTGGGTGCTTGTGGACGGTTGGTGTTTGAAATTTGATTGTGATCATTGCAGGTCCGACTTTGTGGCACTACCCTTATAAGTACTAGAACTAAGGTATTAAGGGATCTAGAGATCATTGCGTGCCTTTCCAACATGGGTATTCGAGCTTTGTCCATCTTCTTTTAGAGTATCGTCAATGGGGACACCTTTGATATCTTTGAGGATTTATTTAAGACCAACTGTAGGGTAAGACCCAAACCTAAATATTTGAGTTTAAACAAAAGAGAAATGCAATCTAATTGGGGGACTTTTTTGATTTTTTTGAACAAAAAATATTTTCTACACTAAAAAGGTGGGGAATTGAGTTAGGCCTTATAGTGGGCTAGCAATAATATGGTTTAAATTCGCTTTTGGCGAGAATCAAACCTAAAGACCTCTCAGTTATATGTGAAGAGGAAAACCACTAAAACGTAGTAAAAATGATATCTAATGGTTGAACTTAAACCTAAAAAGTTTGGATTTTGACTCAAGCTAAACCCAAATTTGGGTTTGCATTTCCATATTTGGTTGACCCAAAATATTGGGGGCCCTACCTTTTTTTTTTTTTTTTTTTTTTTTTTTTTCAGCAGCAACAGGCGAATGATTTATTGAAGTGGCCGACAGATGGGTCTCTCAACTGGCAGGGTCCCAACTACAAAATGGTAACATTTTAAGAAACTACGAGCCGTTCGATTTTTGGGCCATTGATGATCAACGGTCTAGGTTAAAATCCTTTTATGCTTTGCAATTTTTAGATTTTGATCTAATTGTTCATATATATATTTTTTCAAATCTAACAATAAAATAAAGTCAACTATTGAAATTTAAAATTCAACGTCAAAATAATAAAACAAATTTTTTTAGAACATATTCACTTTACTTTTGGATGGCGTGTGTATTGAAGTTTCGTTGGTTGTTTGTATTGTAACATCTCACATTACCTAGGGGGTGGATCCTGTAAGCCTTATATGTATATTCCCATCTCTACCTAGCACGAGGCCTTTTGGGAGCTCACTGGCTTTGGGTTTCGTAGGAACTCCGAAGTTAAGCGAGTTCGCACGAGAGCAATCCCAGGATGGGTGACCCACTGGGAAGTTCTCGTGTGAGTTCCCAGAACCAAAACCATGAGGATGTGGTCAGGACTCAATGCGGATAATATCGTGCTACAGTGGAGTCGAGCCCGAGATGTGGTGGGGCCCGGACCGGGATGTGACATGTACACTGAAGATTGATTGGTGTGTGTATTATAGTTTGATTAGTTGGTGTGATCCGTTCGGTTTTGAAAATTTTGTCGAAATTTAATTTTTTTAATGTCAAAACATTTGTCAAATTAAATTAAAATAATATGATTCAAAAGTTCAAAAAAAAAAAATCTTTTTATTCCTAAATTTGGATCTTGATAGTTGGGTGATATTCATTGTTCATAGACTTAATTCCGTGTGACATCCCACATCGCCCAGGGGATTGATCCTTAAATGTATATTCCCATCCCTACCTAGCACGAGGCCTTTTGGGAGCTCACTGGCTTCGGGTTCCATGGGAACTCCGAAGTTAAGCGAGTAGCGCGCGAGAGCATTCCCAGGATAGGTGACCCATCGGGAAGTTCTCGTGTGAGTTCCCAAAAACAAAACCGTGAGGGCGTGGTAGGGGCCCAAAGCAGACAATATCGTGCTACGGTGGTGGAGCGGGCTCGGGAAGTCGTCCCAAGGGAGTGATCCTTAAATGTATATTCCCATCCCTACCTAGCACGAGGCCTTTTGGGAGCTCACTGGCTTCGGGTTCCATGGGAACTCCGAAGTTAAGCGAGTAGCGCACGAGAGCACTCCCAGGATGGGTGACCCATCGGGAAGTTCTCGTGTGAGTTCCCAGAAACAAAACCGTGAGGGCGTGGTCGGGGCCCAAAGCGGATAATATCGTGCTACGGTAGTGGAGCGGGCCCGGGAAGTGATCCACCCCGGGCCGGGATGTGACAATTTGGTATCAGAGCCTATCCCTGGTCGGAAATGTGCCGACGAAGACGTCGGGCCCCTAAGGGGGGTGGATTGTGACATCCCACATCGCCTAGGGGAGTGATCCTTAAATGTATATTCCCATCCCTACCTAGCACGAGGTCTTTTGGAAGCTCACTGGCTTCGGGTTCCGTAGGAACTCCAAAGTTAAGCGAGTAGCGTGCGAGAGCATTCCCAGGATGGGTGACCCATCGGGAAGTTCTCGTGTGAGTTCCCAAAAACAAAACCGTGAGGGCGTGGTACGGGCCTAAAGCGGACAATATCGTGCTATGGTGGTGGAGCGGGCCCTGGAAGTCGTCCCACCCGGGCCAGGATGTGACAATTGGTATCAGAGCCTATCCCTGGTCGGAAATGTGCCGACGAGGACGTCGGGCCCCTAAGGGGGGTGGATTGTGACATCCCACATCGCTTAGGGGAGTGATCCTTAAATGTATATTCTCATCCCTACCTAGCACGAGGCCTTTTGGGAGCTCACTGGCTTCGGGTTCCATGGGAACTCCGAAGTTAAGCGAGTAGCGCACGAGAGCACTCCCAGGATGGGTGACCCATCGGAAAGTTCTCGTGTGAGTTCCCAGAAACAAAACCGTGAGGGCGTGGTCGGGGCCCAAAGCGGACAATATCGTGCTACGGTGGTGGAGCGGACCCGGGAAGTGATCCACCCCGGGTTGGGATGTGACATTCCGTCTTTTAATAGACTAAATATTTGGGTTTGGGTCTAAGAGTTGGAGCTGGTCTAAAGACTTTAATAAAATCTTTTTATTCCTAAAAGAGTATTGCCTCATATGATAAAGTCCCTATAGTATAAATCCTAAATTAGAAGTTTACATAATTTTATGTGATAATTTCAGTAGAAGCTAATTCTTTTAGTTAATTGAATTGATTTTATTGTAAAATATTTTTTGCGAACATTATTACCCAAAAAAGTTCAAAATTCTCGAAGCCA